CATTGTTAGAATTTACATTATTTGCAGCAATTTGAGAAGTGTTTGAACATTTAATACAATACCACCCTTGTTTTTTATACCGCGATTAATTTGTATTGCTTATCTTTGGGATACAACTTGTCCGGTGGAAAAACTTTTGACAAGTTTTACATGCGATATAGTGTCGGTTCGGCGATATTGTTTCGTGGCAGTTGTAACATTCCATAGTTCTACATATGAGAAAGACAAAATCAGTTAATAACTACATATATTTTTATAAAATATGTAACTATGAGTAATTAATTATTTGTAAATGTTGTTGAGGAAGTTGTAACTCATGCATTTTATTTTTACCTTTTATGCACGAAAAAGGTTGTGTAATTAAATTTACCTATCTTACCTAATGACGCACGTGCATTATTTATCATTTGACTAATTAGCATGTATGTAAATGACTAGTTGTGAGTTGTGGTTTATCATTTTTGTTATGCTCTTCCAGCATTTAACCTTGTCCAGTCATTCACCCTAAACTTATAAATATGGGTTACAATCTCTATCTCGATGTCATTTCTGTGTCCCTGGTCTACCAGTTAATTTGTCACTCAAGTAAACCTCAATTGCCCCAAAAATAAATAATTTAAGTGACATAACTGCCTAGTCTCAAAGTGCCTCATTTACAGAACGAGAGAATTTTCATACCAGCAGCACAATTACCAAACACACACCCAGGGAACTTGCATTCTCAACAAATGTTACGCTACAAATTTGACATTGTATGTAGTAGAAGACATTGGAGCTTATTTTGTGTTCGTATCGTCGTGGGCGAAGAGTTGTGGACGATGCTGGGCAAATCTCGATCGGGGTGGGGAGGGAGGGGACATATTTCCAACGATGATGACATTCTGGGGGTGTCTTAATCTGTGGAGGAGGTCCGTATAATAAATTCCCTCAAGGTTTGTCCTGCATGCCGGAAGACCATGCAATGCCACTTGCGTACTGGGGGGGTGGGCGCGGTACAAGGACACCCCCCAGGGCTTAAATAGTTGTGTGGTGTCGCCACTACCACCCACGGGGTTGGGGATAGTTTAACTGCGGTGTGCTAGCAGTGAATAATTAATTTTCTTAATTGGTAAATTAATTATTTTTTTATGAGGAGAAAAGAGAGCTTGTTGCGTACCCAAATTTGGGGGAAACAATTTTATATGAAATTAAGTTATTATTGAACCTTGACCTCGCTACAACGCGAAGCGGAAGGTGAGAGGTCGAAATATTAAAAAATACATGACATGATTGAATTCAGGGTGAAATTTCCATCCAAAATTACATTCCATATGTGGGAAAAAATGGTGCAAAAATATAATTGGCACGAGTAGGGATCGAACCATAAAGATTGGATCCAATCCCACCGCCTATCCACTAACCCATCAGGACGACACTGATGGCTCCATGATCATTAGGATCCAGATGTGAGATTGAGTTCCAATGTGTTTAAGGCCTGCAATGCTTTCCTTACGGGAGAGTGGCCAAATTTATCCAGTCAGGCCTGGCGAGTGGAGGTACAATTTTTCTATTTTTCCCCATATACTGGCATGTAATGGAAGTGTATGTGGAAGTGATAGTATGTTGTTGCTAACTCCCAATGTTAAATTTGAAGGGCTCGTGTAAGAAGGCCTTTCAAGATAGACGTTTCGAGTAAAAAGCAAAATGACCGTCCTAAAAAAGTAGCCATAGGGCACGTATAGGGTTTTTCAAAATTTCTAACAGTTATCGAAATTTTTGAATTATAAGGTTATCATGATGGATATGACAAATGTTATTCAGAATGGCCAGGTATGAACGATAGAGGAAAAAGGTCAGTAGGGTCACATAGGGTGATACTTGGACAACAATAAATGTATGAGACTGTTTTTAAATTACACTTTCCCGAAGCGGGAAAATTCAACATGTCGATTTTTTTATGATTTCAATTGCACAGGGGTACAGCCTTGTGGGGTACATTTATGTATTATATGTCACTAAATTCACACTGCTGAGGGTCGTGGGGTGTGCCAATTAACGAACTATTTTTCTGAAGTTTGTCTCCCGGAAAAGTTATGACGGTATATTCAAAGGTTAAAAACTTACGCCATGTAAAAACTATGTAAAGCACACTAGCATATAACGAGGACAAGCAATTCAGTCTAATCAATTAAAATACGGAAAAATGGTGCTTTTCTGCAGTTTTACTGCCAACTTGTAGTAAGTAGAGTTGGGTTGGTGGGATAAATTTGGCCACTCTGCCGTAAGGAAAGCATTAAAGGCCTTGTAAGCATTGCAACTCAGTCTCACCTTACTCGCCTCTCTCACCAGGAATCAGATTCTCCCCTCGTTGACTACACATGGACATAAAAATCGTAATATAGAAACTGAGGGAGAAAGGTCTGAAAGATTGGCTTCTGCAGCCGAACGTTATCATAAACGACAACAAGAAAAGGAGTTAGGCGCCTTAGCACTAGCAATATCACATCGTTCATACTATTAAAAAGTTTATCTGTTATATAATTTACAAAAATCCGTCCCGTTGAAATTTTCCGTGACATCCCAGCATTCTGACTGGTTGTTGATATTTGAATTGACCAATCAGGGCATAGGAATTGTTTCTAAATTGTTTAGCATACAAGTAGTTATAAAAATTAAAAATTTACATTTTATACAAGGTGCTGACAGTTGGCATTATTTTTTGAATAAAATAAAATAATTAGGAATTTGGGAAAGTGGTATTTTTTGGTGGTTGGGATGCGTTGTTAAGATTGAATATGTATAAGTGATAGTCCTGAGGACGATTGGGGTTAACCGATCATATCGCGTCCAGAGGGGTATCAATCGCTAGCTCTGGATCATACGAGTGATCATAACCTATACCTAGGGTGCTCATAAAATTCGAGATTGATTTTGCGCTTTCATATTACAGGCGCCGCTTGAAAAAAAATTTGATACTACTTATTTTAGAAAGGCAATTTAGACATTAATTACATCTTAGAAGAGATTTGTAATTGGTTGCGTAGTTCTCAGAACAACGGAGAGAATTCACCGACGTGCTACAATTACTGAACTTCATGAGGTGGGATATCGCCTATGCGAAATTTTCAATATCTTGAATCATCAAGGAATTAAACGGTAAACGGGATATGGTATCATAAAACTATACTATAGGGTGCCCTCCTTGCCTGGCAAAAAAAGATCCGGCCGACCTCTTACTGCAAGGACAGGATGCATGTTGAAAGCGTTAAAATAGAGAATTCGTCAAAATCCTCGCCGTCGGCAAAAGAAAATGGCCCTGCAGTTGAAACTGTCCCTCAGCAGTATCCATATAGCATTTAAGGGAGACCTTCAGGTTCGTCCTATGCGTCGAGGAACATCTCATATGATGACGACGCAGCAGAAGAAAAACAGGGTCACAAGATGCCTAGCTCTTCTGAGGAGGCACGGACGTAAAAATTACCAACAAATTTTATTTACAGATAAGAAGATTTTTACTGTCCAAGAGAAATTTAATCGACAAAACGGCCGGATTTATGCGAAGCGGGAATCTGACATCCAATTGAAGTAGTTTAGGTCAAAAAGAACTCATCATCCGGGGTCTGTGATGGTTTGGTTAGGGGTCAATTGGTTGGGGAAAGCGGATTTGTGTTTTGTGCAGCAGGGGGTGAATGTGCGGGCAACAAACTACATTGAGGATGTTCTTGAGCCCATTGTCAAACCCCTAGGATCCAGCTTATTCAAAAATAAACATTGGACCTTCCAGGAAGATTCAGCTCCTGAACACGGAGCAAAGGTTATCCAAAGATGGCTATATAATAATGTTCCGGATTTTATTTCTTCTCAACACTGGCCTTCTGCATCACCCGATCTGAACCCCCTGGACTACGACATATGGTCAAAGTTGGAGATATTGATCTGCTCTAAACCACACACTAGTGTGGAGTCCTTGAAAAAATCGTTAGTCAACGCCTGGGTGGAATATCCGATGGAAAGTGTGCGTGCCGCGATTGATAACCGGACATCCAGACTTCGGTCGTGCATCAAGGCCAGGGGTGGAAATTTAGAATTCTTATTTTACATTCCTATTCCCATATTGTTTGTGTGTGAAATATATATAAGTATTAATGAATTTCTCAAGTCATTTTGAAGAAATTTAAAAATTTCTTTGCCTCGAAATTTATGAGCACACTATGTATATAGAATCCATTTTTTGTCGGATAAGAATTAGCTGTGAATTCTAGAAAAACTGATATTTTTTAGTTATTTCAACTTAGCTAAATTAGATTAATGCGATTATGGTTGCAGATGGACAAATTTTCAGCTGTATCAAAGAAACTTTGGGACAAATAACATTCTAATTTATTTGTAAATTTACAAATTTCATAACTCTATATAGAAGTATACCACGGAGAGTAAGGCATAGGAGCAGATTTGATTCTTTGAGTATGAAATTAATAAATTTAAGTTTACAAGATTTAAGGGAAATTATTAATTTTGTCGTATATTTTATTTTTCATGAGCCATATAATCCAGTAGACGTATGTATGAATCAGAAATCTCCATAATGAAAATTTGTGATATTTTAATTAGCCATTACTCAAGATAGTTGTATTTCTGTATCAGTATCAATCATTACATCGCAGTCATATGTTCCGTTTCAAAAGTATGAAAACAAGTATTGATGTACTCCGTTAAACAGAGTAAGATATTTTACATAACTCTATCAAATCCTCATATTTGTAGCAATGGGGAAATTTTGAAACTTTATCCTGTAATATTTCCGGATGGTGTGGCCATGGAGTAAAATCCTCCTTCACTTTTTCTTGTCTCATCGAGTACTACAATATCTCAAAAGGGCATCAAAATCGGCCACTGACAACCTCTCACCTTCTACTCCTGAGTTTTGTATAAAAATATGAATACACATCCGGGGAACACTTTTAAGAAACATATGTATAAATATTTCTCCATAACCCACTAATGTGGGCTTGCCAAAGGTGTTGCAATTATAAGAATCTCATAGATGGACGTCTTTATTTATGTATCTACATGTTTATTTTATTATTATTTTAGTATTGAGTATATTTTATTTACATATATTACTATAAACAGGTCACTAGAAATGTCATGTTTATGTTGGTCATTACATAATCACTTTCTTAGGTGAGATGTTGGTCATACTGGTGTCGAGCTGTTAGGAAACATGGTACGAAGAGAATTGGCTTTGCCATAAATTTATTAAAATGCTGGGTAATAGATACATTGCAATTTTAAACACAATTATCAACACATACATACATATTTACACACTCCCCTCTTGCCAATTTTGCATGCATACATTTAAATTTCTGGCCCGGGTTAAAATAACTATCTTTGACTTTTTTGCAAATTTTGAACCAGAGTCCGTCCATAATCTTTGTGGGCTGAAATTGACGGAAGTTTTTATTCCTCATTTTAAGAAATGTTGATTGCTTTGTTCCAAGTTTATTAAATAATTTGCTACAACTGCGGGTCTCACAGCAGGACATACACCTGTTTGAATTGAATTTCTGCCGCTCCCAATATTAATCAAGTGGGCACGTGATGATTGCGCGTAAAAACAGGTGTATGGCCTGTCGCAAGACCCGTAATTTTAGCAAATGGTTAAATTTAGAGATACTCAACTGCTGCGCTGTTCTTCATAAATCGGAGTGCTCCTACCTTCGGAAGGCAAATTTGCACGCCTTAGGTCAGACAGTACGGGATTGGTCGGAGGCTGAAGGGCGTGGCGGTCAGAGGGTCCGACATTGGTGGGTGGCCGTAAGGCGTGATACCTCAAATCTATGGCATAGATGCGCGATCTACGGTATGGTAAATCTAAACTCCTGAGGTCGGTAGGTACCAGGTTTAACGGAGGGTGAAGACCGTGGTGGTCTGATGGTACCAGTTTTTGCGGAGGCCTCCGATGTATGGGCCGAAAGGCGCGGAGGTCGGAAGCCAGAGTGCGTTGAGGCCGGGGTGCGTGGAGGCATGAGTTCGAGGAGGCCGGAGATTCTGAATGTCGTAGGGTACGAGATTGGTCCGAGGTCGGAGGTTGTGGAGTTTGGGAGACCTGAGGTTTCCTATCTATGATGTTCCTAAGCACATACATGTTTACAGCGAAAACTAACACAACTACTCCTGCAAGGGCAGTCATACACATTACAGTATTGCTCCAGCTATTGGAATTTATCCGGACCCGAAATAATTTCAGGTCAAGCATAGCACTGTCCATACGGATCTCCATTTGCTTCAAATTGATCTCATAGTTGTACAAGTTATTGATTAAGCGATTAAGTTCGGCGATATTATCCCTTGCCTCATTTTCATTAATTTTGTACCTGCATGAATAGTACGCTGCCGCAAAACCGATTGGGATTGTAATTGGCGCAAGACCAACAGTGGCATAAAGACCAAAGGAGGCAACTCCGGTAACAGCTGTATAGACATGGTTCTCATGGAGTTGATTTTTTGAATGTTTTGAGTCTAAAAGGTCCTTTCCCATGTTGCGAAGTAATGAAGCTAAAGGCAAGAATTAAAATATTTAGACTATCCAATCGATACATACAAATCGACCAGTAGTAAAATAATTTAAGCGGAGTAAAACAACTTCTTTTGAAAGTTTTGAAAGCGCGGTGGGGCAAACGAGCGATAGTGGTAGATAAATTGGCTACAAATTTAACTTACAAATCTGGAGTTTTGCGACGTTTGAAAGAAGAAGGGCTTCCTTCATGGACTCCTTTAAAATATCTATGCCTTCTAATGTGGTTGAAATAGTGTAGTCCTCTAAACTTCGTTCAACGTTGTGCAACGCGTTCTGGATTCGATCCAAATCTAAACCAAGTGTTGCGGTATTATGTTCCAGGGAGCCTAGTCTGTCCCTTATGTTGTCCATGATTTCCACCAATCGCTGCAATTCCAATTTTTGATATGCCGTATACCCCGAGACGATAGCGCCAGCGACAAACCCTTGAAGCCCTAATAATATATTTGAAGTGGCAACTGAATTTGTAAGTTTGGACACGATGTTTTCCGGCTGCGCCATTGTTGGTACTATAGAGTTCAAATAAAATAGATTTTATTTGGATAAGACTTTATGACATAACTATCATTAGATGATTATTTTAGATATGGCTTGTGTGACCAATTATTTCTTTGTACTGTGAAAAATTAGTGAAGCAACAAACTATGTGACATATTGTTTTGAATCAGCAGACATAGATTTGTGAACTATTGCTGTAATACAAAATCACCCCAATAAGATACCTCCATTAAATATGAATAGATTCACGGTAAACCGTATGTCGTTCCCAAATCCTTGAACCCTTTGGAGTAAATCAGGTGTAAAATGCTTCCCAACCAGAGGTCCATTTGGGTTCAGGCTATTAAATAAATATGGGCCAAACTATGCAATAAGTTGGAGTAAGAATTCAATACAATACTTATCAAAAAATTTCTACTAATTTGTATTTATTTCGTCAATTGTTGACAAGACGCTTGCCCACGCTGTACAATTAGCATGCCCAACTTGTAAGTTTAACAAAAACATGCTAACTAGAATCTTGATAAAGACAAAAATATTAAAACATGGTTCCGACTTTTATTACAGATTTATAAGTGGTGGGGCTAATTTTTTAAATTCTTTTGGATTTTTTATAATCGTGCTAGTTAGAAGTCCTTACCTGTGTAAGTATCTTCATATTCCTAAAGAAATTTAGTTTGCGGTTGGCGAATTGTCTGGAGCTTGGAATGCGGGAAGGTGTGAAAAGTTTTTGACGACGTTTGATTTAAGTTTGTTCTCAATTGAGTCCTCTCGTTCTGTTGATAAAGGACTTGTGTTATTTATCTATGTTAAACATATTTATGGCTGTGTACAGATATGGGGATTTCCTTATTTACATGCAAAACATCGCATAGGCTAACTTACTGAGTTTCAGTGATACGGAACACTTGTATTAAGCGTGGTAGCGGGTTATATACTCAGGTTGTAAAATTAATCGTAGAAGTAGATAAGAATTGTTGACACAAGGGAAGGATAACGATAAAAGTATTTAGAGTTGAGGTGGAATAAATAAATTATTACGCAGTTATCTCTTAATAACTTTGATATAGTATGTACATGTATGAGCAGATATGTAAAAACTTGTCTATCTTCCTCTTTTAGAGAGTCGGGTATGCAGATACGGAAAGTCATGTTGCTACCGTGAATAAGTCTTGGAAATTCATTCGCCATGGGTTTCACATCAAGATGATTGAAGTTGACACATCGTACCTAAACTAGTCATCTTGCTCCCTGAAGATTATACGTAACTTGTAGTCAAGGATTTGTTTATCCGGAATCAACCTTATGTCAGAAATCGTTTGAGGCATCGGTATTTTATTTTTTGGTAGTAAATAGTCTACATTGGTATATTTGCATATTTAAGAACGCACATTTAATTGTGTATGTTTCCATACCATGCGTAGTCTTGCTTGCTTATGAAATTGCTATAAAAATCAATCACAACATGCATAAATGGGTAACGTTGTATCGATGTGATACTACGTATTATACGTCGCAGACTACATTTATGATAAAGATGATTTGTGATTTACGATGAAGTAGTGACTCTGCACAATTTAAGTAAAAAAAAACTAGCATAGAAGCCCGTCATAAAGCGGGTGACAATTATTTTTACGTCGCTAAGGCTATTTCTTGGTTAAAGATTTGTTTATTGTTGACAAACATTTTTATTGATGCTGCTAAGAAATGGGTTTTTTCTAGGTTGCTAAAGAGTTATTTTTAATCCATACTCAACCTCCCCCCTCATTCCATACTCTCATATCTAATACCTCTGACCCCTTGACCCCCTGCTTCTTCATGGTGGCATACAGGTAGTTATGGAGTCGATCCGGGTCAAGTGATCCCGTCCAGAAGGGTGTCAAGCGACAAATCTGAATTATACGATCATTTTGATATATTATAGAATTTTGTACGATGAGAATTCGCTGTGATATGTTAAATTCCAGAAAAAATGATATTTTGGAAAATATAAAGTTGAAATAACTCAAAAATATCAGTTTTTCTAGAATGCGCAGCTAATTTTTATCCCACAAAGTTCTATAGTTGTTACGGCGCCGCTCACGGTAGCTCAGTTTCGAAACGTATGGATTTGTTAGATCCGAACGGCCCGTAAAGTTTACGCGAACTGATAACTTAATGACGAAGTAGCAATGTCTCTTCTCTCACGTTGCACAACTTATTGCAGAAAGAAGGCCAATAAAGTCCCAGAATCAGCGCACTTTAGCTAAATTAATTGGTTTTATTCAAGCACACTACTTACTACAGTTCAACAATGAAAAAGAAACTAATTACCACTAAATCTGATTCCTAAAACAATTAATTTGAAGAGCACTTTTCTTAGTGGCCGTCTTCTCTCGTATCTGGCAAAGGAATGGAGAGAGCACACACGCACACACTCTCCCTTGTCGTTCTCTCTCGCGTCTCATCTCAGACCTCCCTCTTCACTGTTGGGGGCGAGATGAGACACCACACATACATATTACATACTAAATTTGCTTATCTTTAACAATTAATTATAAATTTCCCTTAATAGTGTCGTCAAAAATTTAACTTGGAATTACTTACTAAGACCCTTAAGAACTATTTAAACCTTTTTTGGGAAATATCTGTCCAGTCTAACTCTCATAAATTACACATACATGTTACACATATTTTCTCATATTTAATAAAGTTTAAGCTTAAATATTTCTAACTTACATGGAATGGTTCCCGACTGTTTATCGACTCCAGCGTTCTCACCATATACATTCAATGCATAATCTAATTCTAGTGACCCAGTCTAATAAAATTTCCGTATAAAAATCATTTTTGGCCGAAATATGACGACTTTTCTGACGCATAAAATCACACTTTTCCCATGCAACTCGTCACCCGCACGCCGCTCACCAGTGACCGCTCGAGCTCCCTTCTCAACTTCACGAGGTCACTAATCCTCCCCCTCTCAAAATAGGGATATGTGTATTTTAGAGCAAAATTACTTCTGACTTACCTTTATAATTTAGTTGTAAGAAGTTGCTAATCGTGACGATTGATGTGGTTGTGATTCTCAATGAAGAAATGGTCAAAACAAAGATGCAAATTACAGTGAGAGCATCGTATAAAGTTTTCACCTTGGCACATATCACTTTCACATTTATCGCAGTTCATGGTAAATAGCAGTTGATTTACATTATTAAAGGTAATTCTGTCCTCTGTGTAAGTACAAGCAAACCAAGCATATTGGAACATTGGAACAAACGCTTCCGAGCTCAATTGATCAAAAATTAGAGAGTGCATCCTCAAAACGTTTTCTCTTTTATGCATGTCCAAGTTGATCTCGTCAAGAATCACTCTCTCGAAAATTTTTCTTCTGAATCTTTTGTATTGTCGAAAAATGCAAACGTCCAACGGTTGAACTAGAGACGTGGCTCCTGCTGGAATTTGTTCACGCTTACATTTTTCACCAAGTTCGGCATATATTTCGTCGTCAACTTGTCCTCCCCATGAATCATAGATGAGCATAATATCATTGTCATTTGTTAAAGGCTTGACACAGTCATTTATCCAATTTGTCATTATACGCTTGTCCAATTTCCCTGATTTTGAAGTTGTAACATAAATGTTATCCGGAACAACCAATGACTCTGAAATTCGAGGTCCTAGAACTCCTTTTGGCTCTTGTAGGCAAATTAATAGTTTGCCAGTGAGGCGTCCAGCCATAGAAATAAGTGGCATTATCGTATATGAATGACTTTTTGCATTTTGAGACTTGACCAGTCCGTGCGTATCTTTTTCTCCTTTATGTGAAAGTGTCCGTTTCGGTGAAAATTCATACGTGAAGCCAGACTGATCGAAATTAAAAATAAATTCTGGAGAGAGTCCAACACGATGCATATTCACTTCGTTTACGAAACAACAAGCCTCATCCTCAACGTTATCTTGATTCTCGATTTCTCTCGCAGTGACATACTTGGTAATTTTCCTGGCAACTATTCTGTTTCGAACTTTGAACGAATGTAGCCACTTTCGACTGGCCTTAAATTTAAGGTCAAGCTCTCTAGCCTTTATCGCACCCCACCTTATCAAGTCCAACTCACTCACGTGAAACATTGAGAGTCTAGCACTATTAAATCTATGAATTACAAAATGTTCTAGTTCTTTAAACTTATTTGCAACTGTGTTCTTTTTATTTACATAGTCGTCGAATTCTAATAATTGTCACGGGGTATTTTACTTTGTTATATCGACGTTTCGTCTGTGCAAATTTATTCTTCTTTGCCTTGTCGTAAAATGATAAAATATTCACCATTTCCTGATAACTAAAGTTCACCTCATCTATACGAGTTTCTTCCCAATCTTGTGAAACTTGCTGAGAAAGTTCTTCACTATTTTCTTCATCTTCACTGTCATCTTCATCACTATTATCACAAACAATTGCATTTTCGGAACTATTATTATATGTGTCAGGATAAATGTCAATATCACCATCACAATCGTATTCTAAAGATATTATTGTTTCAATATCGGAACTTTGATCACTAATCATGCGAGTAATTATTTGAATAACTTTTTCAGCCAACTCCATTTTATTCGGGAAGTCTAATGAATTTCCACCACTTTTTTCATATCGCACTTTTGCTAAACCAAGGGCTGCTTCACATAGGCTAATTATTTTTGCCATTATTTTAAAATATTGACACCCTGAATTTAATTTTTAAAATATAATCCAAAATTAATAATATAATAATTATTTACAATGCACATTAATGAAATGTAAGCACGAGTCAGGTCAGAGATGGAACCGCAACAGCTCGCCCGGGGAGACCGGGGCTGATGACGAGTTGCATGGGAAAAGTGTGATTTTATGCGTCAGAAAAGTCGTCATATTTCGGCCAAAAATGATTTTTACACGGAAATTTTATTAGATTGGGTCACTAGAATTAGATTATGCATTGAATGTACATGGTGAGAACGCTGGAGTCGATAAACAGTCGGGAACCATTCCATGTTAGACCAGATGGATTTTTCTAATAATTTTACCATATAAAGACGAGACCTTAAACTACATTATGCACCTCTTTTTATCGACGACACCTTTTCCGTTCGCCTTATAAAAATTCTTAATCTTAACCCATCTCATTCTGCAACAGTTGATTTAAAATTAACTACTTAATTTACGAATCGTTTCCACTCATATGATAAGTCTTGCAATATACTTGTCTAAATATATGTATCGCAGAAAAAATGCCTTATCGGCCCGACTAAACTTTGTGATCTATAGAAATCTCAAATCCCAATCCCAAAATAAACATATCGGATCAAGTTAGGATTTTTTTCTGTAATCGAATAAATAATTAATTTGTTTGTAAAATTCATCCTCCGGACATATGAAATGCCTAGATTTGATCATTTATTGGATATATATAGGGAAAGAGTTGTCGAATAAAGCTGGTCCTTAAATTTTGTAAATTATGAAATCCTGCTATTTAAAAAATCTAATCAATCCTCTAAATTAATAAATTCATGTAAAATACGCTCACAATTTCGAATTAATGGATTTTATGAATTATTTAATTTCTCATGTATTTAAAACTTACACGGTTGAATCTATAAATCGTGCAATTTATAATGACGTACTACACGCGTAGATTCTTTCAATTGGTTTATTTAGTTTGGTAAATATTTAATTTTACTATGGTCCAAAATTTAAGCATTCAAATTTAATAAATCTTATCCAAACTAATAAATCCAAACAAAATTTAAATCTCACTTATTTAAAGCCGTTTAAAAATTGAATACTAAATTTAAAACACGTGTCACAAATTGCTACCTATACTGTCCGTACAAACGGCTATGGTACCTCATTTGCATGTTTAAGACCGCACAAAACCA